GAGGAATGTTTAGCTTTTATGTTATGTTTTATGTCATGCTTGTTGATATGCTATGTATATCGAACTTCGGTCTAATGTCGGGCGGGGCCCGATGCAGTGGGCTAGGCCCAAGTTATGTCGGACTTCGGTCCGATGCCGGGCGGGGCCCGATGCCGGACTTCGGTCATATGTCGGGCGGGTCCCGATGCCGGATTCGTCTGATGTCGAGCGGGGCCCGATGCAGTAGGCAAGGCCGGGTATATGCTATTATGTGTTTATTTGTATGGTATGTGGTAGTTTGGGGAGACTCACTAAGCTTCGTGCTTACAGTTTTCGGTTTTGGTTTCAGGTACTTTAGTTTTCAAAAGAGGAGCTCGGGATGATTGCAGTGCACACATCATTTGTTTAGCCTGCGATGTTTATACTCTGATATATTTTGACATGTGACTATGATACATGACTTATGATTTTTATATGATAAGGATATTTATGGTTTTACTAATGATTTAAAAATGAAATTTTTTGGACTGTATTTTTGGGATGTTTCAATAACACAGTTGAAAGAACAGAGTGATTTAGGGCTAAAATCAACATCTGCAACTGCTCGGGATATTGATCAACAGTGGGGAAAAGACGAAGATTCGAACTCTGTATCTTCAATACAGGTTGTGAAATCTTCTCTTCATTGGTGTTGTTGGAAGGATCAACATTTGCATTAGAAGCCGTCATTGTTAGGGTTGCAAAGGTTGTTTGAAGACGATAAACTTTAGAGAACCTTAGGGAAAATTTGATAAGAGAGCAGAAAGTCTTCAAATAACATCACCAATTTCCTTTAATAGTCGACGAATAATTTGAATTTGCAGCGGTAACCAATAAGATACTTCCATGTGTTGCATTGGTTATGGGACCGGTCGCCGAAAAAATCGCCACTTCAGAAAAAGTGATCATCACGATCTCCTTAAATCCCGTGAAATACTGAATCGTCACGTCCGCCGAACTTTTCGTTGTTCCCAACCAGATAAGAACCGTCACATGTTTCGAACTGTGGAACAAGTACATGGTTTCAACATCAAGAGAACACCAGGACTTCGCTTTGATGTAAGGCTCATTCGCTTTTGGGATTTGAAAGCGAAATCATATGCCAGACTTTGCGAAATCTAGGTTTCTAATTGGTAGTACCCAAAACCTCAAGGATTTCAGTGCAAATGTGTGCCAAAGAATAAGTGGGAATCAAATTAACAAAAATGTGTGATTAGTGATATCAAATATCATTTGATAAGAAAGCAGTTGGATCCCGAGCAAAGATCTTTTCATTCAACATCAAGAGAGATGATGAACTGCTTGCATGGTTACCCATGAAGTACAATCGAATACTCATCAATGAGCATCGAAGGACCTCTTTTTTATCAATGTCGAAGGTAGGCACAATTTTTCTCAATACCACGACTTAACATAAGTGTGAGTTGATTAAACAAAATTACTTCGATGACCAATGTAGTAAAGAACAAGTAAGGTTGGATAAGTTTTGAAGTAACAAGAATTCAGAAAGATATTCACACTGAAATCACATTCCAAAAAAATTTAAGATCCGGATCTTGTTGGGCAAAAATGTCTTGGTAATAAAGCATTTTGTCAAGATCACGCATGACGAAAGGAATATGATTTTGAATATCGAGAATGGTACTGAAACAAATGTTTCGTTATAATCTTGAACAATATGTTCACCGTCAATGCCTTAGTAGTTGGGATTGTTGGGTTTCACCATCATCACGGAAGAATGAATCAGGATCATAAACACGAATTGTTGCAATATCTACATTCTAGTTGGTTTCTACCAGAGATGTCGAGGATATGCAGTGATGTGTGTGATCATGAAGAAAGTGTTGGTGAAAAAGATTAACTAAAGAAACTCATTGTACCTCTGTGAAATATATGGACATATCAGATCTGGTCATCCGGGTCTGATGATGATACCACATGTAGGATCCCATTGTAAATGACATTGCGGAATAAGAACGATCAATCATGAATCAAACGAAAATGTAAGAACACCAAATTTAAATAACTTTGTTTCAGCTCCATTAATGTCTCTCTCATCTCCTCATTTCGCTATCAAAGAGATTCCCTTTGTCTGTGCCCTCAACACCTCAATTTTCTCAGCGTAGTACACTTCATCCTTCATCCTTCACCTTCACCTTCTCCTTCTTATCTCCCTTCTTTCACAGCATGCAGTCTTTGGCCAAGTGATTCGAACCATTGCAATAGTTGCAATCATAGCCTGAATCCCCTTTCAGCTTCAGTGGCTTCTTCTCAATCACATTCTTTCCTTCCTTCTTCTTCTCCTCCTTCGACTCTACTCTTGCACCTTTACACGTTGAGCTATTCGCTTTGAATTCACTACTATTCTTGTACTTTGTATTAAACGGCATTTTGAAAAACTTTTTTACTTTATTATTCGAGTAATAAGCCACCGCTTCATCCTCAGAAGTTACCAAAAATCCTTCATCTTCAACATCCTCTTGTTCTCCAGATTCGATTTCAGAGTCCTTGGCAGTCACTTTCGACATCAGAGCCAAAGGTCCTCCTAAGCTCAACTTCCCTTCTTCAGCTATCTCATTAATCTCACTTTCATGGGCTTTCAGAATGTTGTACAAATCAGCCAAAGAATAACCGTCGAAACTCTATTGAGTTTTGATCATCAGGTTTATGTTCCTCCATTCCTTTCGCAATCCCATTAAGAAAGTCAAATTGTACTCCAAAGTCGAACGAGTGATGTAAGAAAATATAGGGTTTGTGGTGGAGATCTGGATACCAACTTGGATCGTGATATCACTTTCCGAACTGATATTTCTACCCTATGCCTGGGTTACAAGAAATTCAGCCTATGATAATCCAAGTGGACACTTACGATTCTAGGCACAGAAATCGTAAGCCAATATGCTAGAGAGAATCTGTGAGAGTTTGATGAAAATGAGAGCTAAAAATCGTGTCTCTCTTCTGAAAAGAAGAGTAAACGATATTAGGGTTTCATTAGGGTTGGGCCGCTATGAGTTCCTTTGGTAGCAAGTCAAGGTAATCCGGATTTTAATGAGGATTTAGGGTTACCAAAACTAACGAGTTTCGTTATTTTTACCATAATCACCCTCAAGAATCTGAATTTTCTTCTACGTACCCATATGTAAAATTCGGAGAGGTTCCCCGCTAGGGGCGCTGCACCTTTGGAAACCCCGGACCCAAGGGCGCTGCCCCCCGGACCTCCGACTAGTCGTCGAACCGGCTTCTAATTTGATCTTATACATGCGTGCACTCCGCACCAACCCGTACACATATTAGAATACAAATTATGAAGCCCCTTAGCTCACATGCTAATTCCAGTTACATAAAATGACATGGTGACACTAAAATCACCAACAAGTGACACCATAACGAGTACACTTGAAGATCAACTCGTTCAAGCGATCATAGTATAACTCGATGGTTTTGTTGTCTTTCTGCTTAAACTCACCCAATTCCAACAAGCACTGCTTCACTGAACTTTTCTTGGTCTTCTCACTGCCCTGATATTTCTCTTTCAACGTATCCCAAATTTCTTTCGCAGTTTTGCAGCTTCAAACAATAGTTGTAAACAACTGGTGGAAGAGCACCACACAGTTCTCGGATGCATTTCTTATCATTTGCTTTCTGTTTTTCAGTTTGTATAGCAACATCAGCAGAAGAACTAGTAGTTCCGACCTATTCAAGCCTTCCACGACGATAGTTTCCACTTGTAATACACCTCCAGAGATCTTCATCGATGCCGTTAAGATAATCCTCCATTTGATCGGCCCACTGGCCATAATATTCAGGTATGAGCATTGGAATCTTCATTGATGATCCAAGTAAATGAGAAAAGCTTGACATTGTGTTCATTTTGAAGTTCGCCATTTTCGTACGGACAAAAGTGATTTTTGATTTCAGAAAAGAGATCTAACAGAAGAATCAATCAGAAAATGATCAGGAAACACCCGATCTAACAAACTGATTGCAGAATCGAAATAAATCAATCAACTGACACAAGTATTGAAAAAGTACGAGAAAACTTGAATTGACTGAATGTATCCTGCTCTGATACCAATTGAAGAGTGTTTAAATCAAGTTTAGAATACGAAATCAATCACTGGATGCAATAAGAACACGAGATGTAAATAATATCTTATTGGCTCGTTAATTATCTGTAAGAGTACAAGAGTTCTAGAGAGAGAATACAATAATGAAACATGCAAAAAGCTACTCTCTACCCCTATACTTTTTCTATTTATAGAGTGATACAGACGCATAAAAAATATGCAAGGACTAGACATTGGACTTCGACATCAACAAATGCCTTGCAAAATACATGCACTTCGAAGTACATCATTTCGCATCTAAACAGACTAAAACTGGTTTCGACTTCTCACTATACGCTTGGCACTCTACAGGACCATATATATACAGATTATCCCAAACCATAAGCACCATTTATGCAATTTACTCTATTATATTATATTTGTATCTAAATCGATTGTTGGAACTAAAGTGGGGCCAAGATTTTTCAAGGGTCGGGCGGCAGACAATGGACCCTACAACTGTTAATCTACATTTAAAAGATACAATACTTAGACCGCTCAAAGTGGTGCTCAAGTGTAACACCGGCCCTTGTCGACGGCATCGAGCATCAATGGCACCACTCTCACCGGTCTTAGAAGCTTGTTTTCACACATCAAAATACTTGAAGGAATAAAAATTTCAAAGACAGACTATCATTGTTCTTTTCGTGTTTCATCGTCTTCCCTGTATTTTCCCTATATTGATCTTTCTTCATCTTGATTCCTACTCAACTCATATATATTTCGTTAGAGTCTCACGTACTTCCACCACCTCTAATTTTTGTTTTATTTATTAATATATTTAGTAACGTTTTTATTTAGCTATTGATTATTGTAACAAATCACATCATCCAAATCACTAAAATACCAACCAAAATGGTAGATCCATTTAATAAAGTGGTATTCTTTTGAACTTTTAACATAATGGCTATATAACAATTCATATTCACATTTATACAATCCCAGCAAAAAACTATACCGTAGAATAATCCGCCAACTTAACTACTAAAGAAAGTTTTTACTACGTCCAATCATTCTAACCCAATTAGCACACCTTTTTGGGTCTAATTTCATCCATAATTCCCTATACTTATCGTTTTCCTCACAAAAAATCGCATATGCAACTTCATGTAGCGGATCATCTTTGGGCCACCCGAGCTCATTCAACTTATTTTCACAATCTTCAAATGTCGGTTTTGGTGGTGGTTCACGTTTGTTCATCTTTTCAGCTATCATCTTCAAGACGCCCAATATTTCTTCTTCAAAAACCGACATTGGTCGTTTAGTCTCTATTGTCACAGATGCAGTTTCAGGTTGTACTCGAGGCAATTCTGGTGGTACTTCAAATATCAGTTCTTTCTGTGGTGTTTCTGTAACGGGTAATGGCGGGGCTGATGGCAGAACAAGAGGTACTTGTTGTTCAAGGGACGCTTCACCTGAAGGATCCATTCATGAAAAACAATATAATTTTCTTCTACAAATCAAAAGGCTTAAATGCAAGGAATAGCAAGGTAGTTTAGTCAACTTTCTTATTATAGCATCCTACTTTCATTTCTTCTTATTAATTACAGCACCCAAGTACTTTATAAAATCTACCTCAAATTATAGCAATGCCTCGTCCAACCAAATACAATACAAATTTTCACTCCTATAATAATTGGGTAAACTTAGTTTTTTAAAGTATAATGTGGTAATAAGAAAATAATTAAAAGTGCAAAGCTATAATTATTTAGCTTTATAAAAGTACAATGACATAATAAGAAAAAAACACTGCTGTCACAAAAAGAAATGAAAGGAAAATGCGCTATAATAAACAAATAAATGAAAGCACAATGCTATTTCCTGCATAAAGTTGCAAACATATAGTCTGCAGATTTGATGCGTTCATAGAATCATAGCTAATATATTTGACCAGATTTTTAGTTACTGTTTTCCTAGGATGTAGTGCTCTCATAAGGGATTGTAATTGTATGAACAGAACTTACTTGTAGATTATGATGCTTGTGATTTAAAGTTGGGTTAAAGGCAATAAATAGCAATGTAGTTCAATTGTGTTTGTTTATTATTGCATCTTATTTTCATTACTTCCTATTACTTACATCATACTTTGAAAATTCTACCCAATTCTAGCAATGTCATCCAGATAGAAAGCAAATTAAAATAAGATAAACATATGATAGGTATAATGCTATATCTAAATAGATTATCAAAGTACAATGGCTTAATGAGAAAAAATTAAAAGTAAAATGTTCTTACAGAAAATGAAAGCAAGATGTTACCTGATGGGCCTCCAGCAACCTTACAGTGGCGCTTCTTAGGGTGACATGCCGGTCCAGTCAAAACCTGGTCAACACCGGTTTGAAAATAACCCGCAGATAAAGCACCGTAAAAAAGTTGTGCACAAAGATCTGGAAAAGGTAGGGGCGCATTCCTCAATGTTTCTATGCACTTATTTTTCTGTGTGAAATAGTTTAACAAATTAGTAACTAACACAAATATATGAAATATATACATACACTTACTTTAGCAAACGAACATGAAATTTACCATCAATTCAGTCTTCCATTCCTTGTCGGTCAAATTGAACATGTTGGTGGACGGATCATATTTGTTGCCGGCCTTGTTTCTTAGTGATACCCATGCTATGTACTTGGTCTTGAGGCCATCAAAATAGTTATTCATTTGTTTAGTATCAACAGAAAAGTTATGTCTATCTTTAAGCATCTCCCCAACTTTCTTCCATGACATTGGTTTTAAAGTTAAATTACAACCATCCCAGCCATTGATGGTGATTTCGTGAATGCATGCATCAATAAATGTTTTAACTATATTTACATTCCAATAAACCATATTTTGTTTTGATTCCTTGTTACTTTCCATACCTACACAAGAACAGATGAACAAATGAGACCGAATACAAGATCATGGCATGCCATTGCTACTATGAATGACTTCAATGCAACCAAAGGGGATGGGGATGTCTACTGTCTAGAAAGTAGCAATGATATGTTTAAGTGTGTCTAATCTAATTTTTCTGATTATTTAGAATCAAAATATAAATATCCTTCAGTAAGCACCTGATGATCTATCTCAGTATCTACTTGTAATTATTCAACTCACAATGATCTTTTTATTCAAACACTGCTTAAAGATAACCATATAATCTTGCTCCTCTAGAATAAAGCACGTAAACATCCCAACAATTCAAGACTTTACTAATTACAAATCATTTTTTTATATGAAATAATATGCAATGGTTAAAGGATCATATATAATGGAAACTGTCAACTTCAAATCACAAAGACAAACCAAAAAAGATGTATTTATACCAACAAACTCACCAGTAGCACACAAAGATGAAGCAGCTGTAGATTGTGGTGTAGTAGCAGCTACAGTTTTAGACCCCAAAAAGGAACTTGATGTTCCAGTAGTAGTAGTAGTAGTAGGGTTTGCGAATTGAGGAACAGATCCAGTAGCAGTTGTAGTAATAGATGAAGATGTTACTCCAAATGCTGGGAATGACAGAGTCTTACTAGCAGTATTCGTTGTAGTTGCTGCCGTAAAACTGGGATTTGGTGATGATGATGATCCAAATAAACCTGAAGAAAAAGGCCAACTAACCACAGTAGATGTAGTCGAAATGGAAGCCCCAAAAATGCTACTAGTTCCAAAAGTAGAAGTCGAACTGAATAAACTTGCACCTCTAGAAGTAGAACTAGAGCTGAAACCAAAAGTGGGTGATGGAACAGAAAATGGCGAAGATGTTGTAGCAATAGACGAAGAAGATGTTACACCAAATGCAGGAGTAGCAGTTGTAGCAATAGATGAAGGTGTTACACCAAATGCAGGGAGTGACAGAGTCTTAGTAGCAGTATTCATTGTAGCTGGTGATGATGATCCAAAGTAGCTTGTTGAAAAAGGCGAACTAACCCCAGTAGTTGTATTCCAAATTGAAGGTGAAGTTGAAGAAGCCCCAAAAATGCTACTACTTCCAAAAGTATAAGGCAAACCAAATAAACTTGTAGCACTAGAATTAGAGGAGGAGGTGGAAGTGGACCCAAACAAACCAGATCCACTAAACACCGATGCTGCACTGAAACCAATAGTGGCTGATGGAATGGAAGAAGATGCAAATGCAAATCCAAGCAAAGAAGATGATGGTGTGGTCAGGTCTGAAAAATCCCCATCAGGTATGGTCTTGGCCTTGTAGGAAAAAAGAAAAAGAAAAAAGTCTTAACTTGTGTACGTTATTATAATTAAAAAATTTATTTGCAACAATAATACTTAAATAACTATTTTGTAATATAAAAGGTAAGTTATAAACATTCTTAGGCTATTACAGCATTGTACTTTGAAAAAAACTATCCATATGGCAATATCTCCAAATACAAAGCAAAGTGGGTAAGTAAGACTTTTGTTCTAATAAGAAAAAAGAAAATTAACGATACAATCCTATAATTGGGTAAAGTTTCAAAGTACAATGCCTTGATAAGAAAAAAAAACAAATAAATAACAGTATGTTGCTATTTCTTGCATTTATCCCTACAAACTATCTTCCTAATCCTAGGCCTAGCTATGAGAAAGTTATAATTAGGAGCACTGACCTGAGTTACAAAAGGACCAGTAGGACATTTTGTAGATAACCCTTGATAAAATCCAACACACGGAAGCCCAGATGAAGAAAACTGTGAATCTTTATGTTTGTTTTTAAAGGATGAAGATGGAGATGCTAAAGACATGGTGTCCTTTTGGATGTTGGTCTCTGGTATATGTTTGGCAAAACCCAGTCCCCAACTTCTAATGCCCGTGGATCCAAAAAGTTGTGCACAAAGATCTGGAAATGGTAGGGGTGCATTCCTCAATGCTTCTATGCATTTATTTTTCTGTATGAAATAATTTAACAAATTTTTTAACAACAATAAAAAAGATACTTTAGCAAATCAATATGGAACTTACCTTGATTTCAGTCTCCCATTCATTGTCTGTCAAATGAAACGTGTTGGTGGAAGGATCATATTTGTTGTTGGTTTTGTTTTTTAGTGATAGCCAAGCTCTGTACTTACTCTTGAGGCCATCAAAATAGTTTTTCATTTGTTTATGGTCAATGGAAAAGTTATGAATATCTTTAAGTATTTCCCCGACTTTCTTCCATGACATTGTTTTTAAACTACCATTTTCTTGGCCGTTGATGGTGATCTCATGAATACATGCATCAAGAAATGTTTTAACTACATTTATGTTTTCCCAACTAACCCTAATTCGTTTTGGTTCCTCGATACTTTCCACACCTACACTCAAACAGATGAACATGGGCATAAACAAATCGTATGGTACCATTTACAAGATTAATAATGCCATCTTGTGCTTGTGGGTTGACCCTATATACAACCCATAAACAAAAATCTAACGCTTTACAAGACTATTAATGCCACAAAACAGAGAACACCTAAATCCTAAAACAAATGTATGTCAATTTTGGTATTTATGGAAAGTTTACCATCATGGAACAAAAGGTATAAAAACTGAAGAAAACTTCTTCAATAATGCAAAGTTTACCATTATCAGTGATTAAAAGTTCACTTGGGACGAAATTGATAGTCTATTTTGCATTAATCTTTTTCTTCATATCAAATACGTTTTGTCAACTTGCTTGGGTCAATCCCATAGCAAATGTTATACTTACAATGTATTACTGCAAAAATAATTTTACTCCGCGAATGTCGCATACAGTAATTGCATTTTCACAATAACTAGGTTGTTGCCAATGGAGATAGAAGCCTCTTGAATTTCAATCAATAGGTCCCATTTTATATTGGGAATTGGGATGAGCAATGGAGATGATAACCATAATCACTTATGGAGATGAGAAATGAACAGATAAATTTGCCAAATAAAGGAGGGACACAAACAGTTACCTGATTGGGTGGCAGTGACTTGGGGCGGGGGTGACAGCAACAGGGGTTCCATCTCCATTGCCTCCTCAACCACATTCGAATCACCAGTAGAAACAGGCACCACGGGTCCCTCGGCTTTAGTCTCTATTGACTCAAGTGCACTTGCAAGTTGTACGTGAGGCAATTCTGGTGGTACCTCTACTGCCTTGGGTTCACTTGCAGGTTGTACTTGAGGCAACTCTGGTGGTACTTTAACCAAAGAGCTACACGCCATCGGTTCTTCCTGTGGTATTTCAGTAGCGGCTAACAGCGGTGATGTTTCGGATCCGGATGATGGTGGAATGAGAGGTACCGCTGCTTGAGGTGCACCTGAAAGATCACCCATAAAAAACAATACAATTTTCTTTTACAAATCAAAAGCTTATAATTCTATTGTCTTACTGCAAAATTAAATTTACTCTATGAATTAGGTCCCATTCTATATTGTGATGAAAAATGGACACAAACCTGATGGGCCGGTTTGAAAAAAGGCCGTGGATATAGCACCGTCAAAAAGTTGTGCACAAAGATCCGGAAACCGTAGGGGAGCCTTTCTCAATGTTTCTATGCATTTATTTTTCTGTGTGAAATAGTTTAACACATTAGTAATAAAAAAATACTTTAGCAAATGTATATGAAATTTACCTTGATTTCAGTCTCCCATTCTTTGTCCGTCAAATTAAACGTGTTAGTGGACGGATTATAAATGTTGGGGGTTTTGTTTTTTAGTGATACCCATGCTGTGTACTTCCTCTTGAGACCATAAAAATAATTAATCATTTGTATATGATCAACAGAAAATTTATGTCCATCTTTAAGCATCTCCCCAACTTTCTTCCATGACACTGCTTTTAAACTACCATTTTCCCGGCCATTGATGGTGATCTCGTGAATACACGCATCAAGAAATGTTTTAACTATGTTTACATTCCATCGAACCATATTTTGTTTTGATTCCTTGTTTCTTTCCGTACCTACACACGAACAACATAATCAAGTCAAACCATTTGCAAAATTACTAATGCCAACTTGTAGTTTCAATTCTTAGGTCCCATTATATATTGTGATGGAAACCACAAAAATATCCGAATAAATGAGGAACAGGACACAAATGGTTACCTGGTGGCAGCAATTGGTGACTTGCAGGTTGTACTTGAGGCAACTCTGGTGGTACTTCTTTCTGTGGTACCACTTTCACGGGTGTTTTAGTAGCGGCTGTGATTCCGACTTGCGGGTGAAAATTCCACTTGTTGAGGACTGCTGGTCTATCTCGGTCCTTTACAGTCTTGACCTGGTAAACAAACAAAAAATGTATCCTTTTAAATTTAAATTTACACATGCATCACATACTTCAATAACTATTTTGTAAACTAAAAGTATTCAGTAGAACTAGAGAATTATGAAAATATTATTGCCGTGGTGGAGGCATTAAGTAGTTAAAAAGGAACAACCTTATATATCAGTCCACATTAACTCCATAATAAAATCAAAAAGAAACAGCCACCAAACCAAGTCTTATCCCCATCATGTGATGTCCATCAACACCCCCAACTTGTAAAAAAGAGGGAAAGAAAGAGTCTCTTGCCTGAATACGTAAAAGTTGTCCAGCAGTCTTAACTTGTGAGTGGGTCCCTTTTATTACAACTGCAATTTCCTTATGTAAACCTTTTCTCTCCTGAACTGTAAGAATTGCACCACTCCTAAGACCAATATTTGCAATATTCATCCCTCCAACGCCAATGATATCTACCACTTTACGTGTTGATATCGCTATCTTTTGAGTAACCTACTCCAACACGCTCAAAACGACAGACTTCTAATAAGAATCTTAACAACTTATACTGCAAATGCTTGAGTAATTAGTATATTCCTCAACTTTCATTTGGGTTAAATACAAGAAATACCAATATACTTTCATTGGTTTGTTTCTTATAGCATCCTATTTTCATTTTTCTTCATATCACAGCATTTGAACTTTGAAAAATCTGCCCAGATAAAGCAATCTTATCCAAATTCAAAGTATAAAGTTCTAATAAGAAAAAGGTTTTCAAAGTACAATGCCTTCAAAAGAAAAAGAACAAAATTTTGAAAGCATATGTTGCTATTTCCTGCATTTAACCCTGTTCATTTCATACTTCCAAGAAAGTGAAATACACAGAACTACCTTCCTACATTTTTGAAAGTTAGAATTAGGACAACTCACCTGATTCAGCACTTGATGTTTTTCTAGTGTGGATGTGGCATTGTGCTGTATAAGGCAGCAAAATATTAGTCACATAACCTTATGATACGGTGTTACAGTAGAGTGTCAAATGAAAGAAAATGTACTTTCATTGATTTTTATCATACCATTCTACTTTGATTTCTTCTAAACTTCTTATTATAATATTGTAGTTTAAAAAAATCTGCCCAATTATAAGAGTGTCATCCAAATACAAAGCAGCTTTCGCTGCTGTAATTGGGTAGATATTTCTAACAATAATGTTCGAATAAGAAAGAAAAAGATTGAAAGCGTGATGCTATAATTGGGTATATTTTTCATAGTACAATGTCTTATTGTGAAAATTTTGGTGATGGAAATAAATGAAAGTAGGATGCTAATAATAAACAAATGAATGAAAGTAGGTTGCTATTTCTTGCATTCAACCCTCCAATAAAATGATGAAATGAGAATAACATACGGTCGCTATAAAGAGAGGAGGGATGCTATGATCAACCAAAAGCATGCGCAGGTGTTTGAGAACAGCTTCTAAAGCTTGCAGAACCTTGAGACCTTCTCCCTTTAAATTGACAACTCTATCATCTAAGTTGGCAGATAATGTTGACACTTCATCTGGCAGAAAAAAAAAGTAATGAGGAAATAATAAATATTTGAAAGTTGAAACCAATACGAATATAAAAAGAAAACAGATTCTTGACGACAAAGGGAGAGTGAGTTGAGAAGCAACCACAAAAAATCATAGATATCAAAATGTTTCTAAAAAATTGAAGCATATATATCAAATGCGTATGCGTTAAAAGCGCCCATATGTGAGTTTGTTTCAAATAGAGTTTACTGTTAAATGCAAGAAATAGCAATGTACTTTCATTTATTTGTTTATTATGGAGCTAAATGCGAGAACTGGTACAGTACTTAAATGTTTTAATAGCGGAAAGTATGTTGCTCTAAATTTGTCAGCTATATAATACACAATTAATGCGAAGTATTTATGAATAATCATTCGATTTAGAAAAGTATTTATACCACTAGGTAGGATACGAACAGAACAACCTATGTTCTGTTTTATTGTATTGATCGAGGATCCTTGATTCCCAATCAGACTCATGGCTTGCATTGATGTTAACAGTAGTCGAATTGAGCAAAATGGAATGGATGCTACAGCATCACTCTCATCCTCTGGGAATCCATTAATAAGTTTAAATACTCTTATCACAGCCTCCATTGCAGGTGACAAGGGTGCCTCTATCTCTTCCTTGCCAGATATTAGGACCTTAAAACATTACATAAAATTGTAAGTTACTCACATTAATGGTTAAGAAATCTGTTGCATGAATTGGTAAAACAATAAACGTATCTTGCATGGATTAAAGGGGCAACTAATTGGCAGAAAATAGGGTAATGGAATAAAGTAATAAACATCAATTGGTAACTACTTTCAAGTATTGAAAAGAAACCATAGTTAAACTATACTCCAAAACAAGTAATAAGCCTAAAGCACTTACCAAAACCATACAAAAGAAAAAAGACTAGAGGTCAAACTTCACTGAGCCACAAATGAATTTAGGCAAAATTCGATGTCCTCAACAAACTAACACCAAAAAGCATAAATTGCCATGATACAATTCTCGCATGCGATTTTACAGAAACGCTGATACATCAACCAATATGAACAAGGCTATATGGTATCTTTTTTAAAAGAATGAAGATAAAAAAGGACGATGTCATAAATAACAACATACTTTTTGATTTTTCCAGCTTGGTAGCTATTTTTCTAAGTACCTAGTCCTCTACTTTCAAAAACTGTTAAACTCAAGTCATCTAGTAACGTGTTATGTGACCCTCGATAGCTTGTGATTGTCCTCATGGGTTGACATGTATTGGTGCATAGTCAGTCAATTTTGGTGGAATTCAAGTTATTATGAACATGGAAACATCACTTTATTTGAAGCAATGGAAATCTAAGATTGGGTTATTACATGATCTCCGTTCATGTTTGTCGTTGATGTTTAGTTCATGTATGACGCATACCATTAAGGCTAAATCCATGGTCAATAAACATGTTACTAAATTACCATATGAACAAGGTACGAAAAAAGTAAGAAAAAATCACAATGACCTAAATCGAAAATACTTTATCCAAAACAAAAAGAAGCAGAAATCTCAAAAGGAACAACTTACAATGCGGTCAGGATGCCAAACAGGTCCTTCCAATACACTAATGTGAGCTTTAGTCTCTTCGCACATCTTCTTGATGAGATCTCCATTCCGTCCAGTAATACTCTTAGCTTTAAGCGCGGGCACTAATACTATAACACGAAACAGGCAATCTACCGGCCATCCACACTTTTCCTTCTTAGGAACTGTCGTTTCCGCAGCCGGAGCTGGGCGATCAGCTGTTGGCTTCACCTCCTTCTCCGGGGCCACTTCCACGGAGGTGGCGGGAACCTCGGTTTCAGGGGATCCGGCTGCGGTTCCGTTCGCTGAATGTATCTTAGAAGCCATTGGTGAATGTACCTTCTCATGTATCGTCGTTTCCACAGCCGGAGCAAAATCCGTACATGTTGAATGATCAGCTACTGGCTCCGCCTCCTTCTTCAGCGCCGCTTGCGCTTCCACCGTCTGCTCTGTTTCTACAGCGGCAGTGGCGGAAAGCTCAGTTTCGGCAGCAGTTCCGTTCGATGAATGTACCTTAGAATCCATTAACATATGATGTGTGGGTTAGGGTTTTAGAGGGTGTTTGGATAGCGAAAAAATTGTCGGCTTTTTGCTTACTCTCATCACAATAAGCTAATTTAAGTTTGCTTACTCTCACCACAATAAGCTAATTTAAGTGTTTGGATAGGATACTTAAAAAATTAGCTTATTGCGGTGGGAATAACCTAAATAAGCTGATTTTAATAAGCAAGGGGTAATGCTTATTGATTATTGTTTATTAGTCATTTTACTCATATAAGCTGTTTTGTTTGCCAAACACTTCAATGCTTATTGCTTATTCCCACCGCAATAAGCTAATCCAAACACATTTTAAAAAATGTTTATTCCCACCACAATAAACAATAAGCAATAAGCTAATAAGCTAAAAACTTATTTATCCAAACACCCTCTTACAATATAAGAGGGTTTAACGACCCGATAAACCACCGTGCACATCAATTATCCTTTTCTTTGGGTTATTTCCATAAAATACCTTATATTTTGACTTTTTTTCTTTTTAGACCTAGAATTTTTTTATTTTCCGAAAAAGACCCAACTTTTACCTGTTACTTGTTATTTCAGACCCTAGCAGGTCACCAACAGGTAAATTAGGTTTTTTTTTTTTCATAAAAGACTCTATATTTTATAGTTTTTTCCATTTCAGACTTAAAATGTTTTTTTTTTCAAAATAAACTCAACTTTAAAATTGGTTATAATCTTTAAAACCATATATATAAGGTACTTATTGACTACACCAAAAAAGAAAGTATACATGTATAAACTAAAAAATGTTATCTAATCTATTATTTTTTGAGCGAATATAACTTAGAAGAATTGCAAAATTTTATTTTTGTGTAAAAGATATAATTAAACTTTATCTTGGATATATGTTATATCATTAAACCTGATATATTGTTTATAAAAAATGTTATTATTACCGCTAATAAAAAGTTTGATGTTAATTTGATATTTTTTGGTAACATGGATAATACATGGTTAGGAAGAATCTTTTAGCATAATAACAACTTTTTTTATTTGTAGAAAAAAAAAACATACCACGTAATTTAACAAACTGTATACAAAATAATTTTTTTTAGTTTGTCTATTATACTAATTTCGTGAGTTTGGACATATTTCCCTCTCTCACTTTTCTATATTATTTTTTTGGTCCAATTTTTTAATCAAATTTTTTTAGAACAGTTAACAAACACACTCACTGTCATACTCTTAAACCAAAACCATAGAATATTTTGTAGCATTAGCCCATTATTCATGGGGGCGTTGAGGGGGCAAAGTGGACAGCTGCACATGACCCAATTTCTTTTATTATTATATTATATATACATTTATTTAAAAATAAAAAACTTATAATAGCGATAGGGGTCATTTTTCCCTGACTCGTCATGGGCATTTGAGGATATATACATCTCCAGGACCGGCCATGCCATTATTGAATAATATGTTATAATTATATCAAATACATACATAAAAATATTAATCCTAAACATTCGTAATAGTTTTGTTTAGATATATCAGATTCAAGTTTAAGACATTCTTAAAAAATGTTAACATCACATATAAATACATAAAACTATATTATGGGAATGAAACCATTCAAGCATAAATTAATGCAAAAGTTAAATCGTTGTATGTGTAATGGTTTAAAAAAAAATGTTTCATGCGTAAATTAATACGATGTCAAAAGATGCAAAAGTTAAATCGTTGTCTATTATTTAAACTAAAATAATATAATTATGTTTTTTATACCCTGACGAAATTAAGCTACATGAACTTGGTGTACTGAAGAAATAACTTTTACAACTACTTTTTTTTAAAAAAAAAATATACGTGGACAAAGAAATTGTCCAATCATAAATAAATGTAGGCATAATAATTACATTGTTTAAATCGATGTCTATGTTTAAACTAAAAGGATATAATCATGTTTTTTATACAACTAGTCTTGAAATAAAAAACATTTTAGGTCTAAACTGGAAAAAAATACAAAATATAGGATCTTTTATGAAATAAAAATACTCAATTTCCCTTTTGGTGACCTGTTAGGGTCTAAAATAACAAGTAACATGTAAAAGTTTGGTCTTTTTCGGAAAAGAAAAAAGTTTTAGGTCTAAAAAGAAAAAAAATCAAAATATAGGGTCTTTTATGGAAATAACCCTTTTCCTTTTACAGAAATCTGCATCTTCCGCACCTCGCACACATCCCCTCGCCAACCGCCTGAATCATTTTTCTTTCTCGGTAATCCAGATTCGATTTTAATATTCTATTTCAGTTAATTTATTTAATCATGCTTTATGAGCTTAATACAAGGCAAATGAAGTAATCTATCCGCTTTGGTGAACTATTGAAAAATAAATTTTTGTATACTTTTTTTTCAAAGAAATCATTTTTTCATAATAGAGTCTATTTAAGAGTAAGTTGTTGGGTCGGTCCATCAAAGAACGTTTGGAATATACATCCCGAACTAAAAACGGGTTTATTCCAAAGTTTAATTTTGAAAATCACTTTTCGGATTATATTCCAACACATTTCGGATCTCGATTTACAAACGTATTCCGACTGATTATGGGCACTAACACTCACTGATACATACTTAAGATATGGAACATGATCATAAAGACATCGTTGTTTTACAGGTAAGTTCATTGCTCTTACACTTTTAATAGTTTGATTTAAACATTTGTATACTTAGTAAGTTAGTCCGGAATACGAAGAACATCTATGGAATGCATAGAATACGTTCCAAAGTCGCATTACATGCTGACATTACATTAGGAACAACACAAAACTAGTTTAATTATGTGTATTAGGGTATTATATGTCCTAAGTTAGTAATCTGGAACAAAAAACAATCGTTCTGGAATGTGATGATCATGTTCGAAACACGAAGAACAGTCCGGAATGCAAAGAGCATGTCCGGAATGTTCTTCGATTTTCGTTCCGGAATATAATTTTAACTTGTTTTGTATTTGCAGCACGACAAGATTTTTGATGTATTAATTGCACTTTCTTGCAAACCCCAAACTCGGTTTCGATATTTGTGAAAAAACTCAAAGGAAGACTGGTATGCAAGACTATGTTCCATAATTCATGTTTTGGGAAGTGGTTAAATATGCATGCGGTAGATGGGGATCCTTCACTTCTACATTACGTGTTTTGCCAAGAATTTATCACAAACCCTTGAAGTGAAGTAGAAGAAATAGTTTTTGAGATTGAGGATTACGAGTTGTCTTTAGTGAAGAAAGAATTTGTCTTCTAACCGGCTTCAACTTTTGTGACTATTTTCCTGCCTCCGTTTTCGGCGTTGCCTTCGAATCCTGTGTATTTCCTATGGTTTCGAGGAATGTCTCCGTGAAATTAGATGATGTGGTTAATGTGTTTAAACATTCACTTAATGAGTTATCGGACGAGGATACGGTTCGTGTATGTCTTTTGTATCTATTAGAAAAGGTTTTCAATGGGCGGTTGTCGCGTCAGCTTGTCATAGAGGAGTATTTCACTATTTTACTTTGCTATCCAACCTTAATGAATTCAACATATATCATGTTGTTAATCTATAATCTCCTATCCTAATAAATAAGTACCTATATTGCCACGTGGCATTCTCTAAGACCCCCCCCCCTCCCCCAAATCGAAATTTTCCGCTCATATGATGAAATTGAATTCCCCAAATTGCCCTTGCATTCCATTTTCTCATCAATTTCGGTTGAATTCGAAAATGTTGCAAGTTTGTTACTTAAATATGTTATGCTATTATGCTCTTATTTCCTGCAAGGTTTTATAAAACGAAAAATCAATAAACAATATTCATTTATACGTAATTGAATGTTCCAAGTAGGCCTGACAATTGGGTTGGGTTCGGGTTGGCGGGTTAGAAAACATAAACTCAACCCAACCCATATAATATATGGGTTGACGGGTTGGCGGGTCACAGGTTGGTGGGTTGGAAACCTCAACCCAACCCAACCCATATAACCCGTTTAAGTATATGGGTTCGCGGGTTCACAAGTTAATGGGTCAAACCCAACCCATATAACCCGTTTAATAAATAAACAACACATTTTAAAAAATGAGGTTTTTTCAACATAAATTCATAAAATGATTAAAGCAATTAACATAAAAAAACATTTTTCAACATAAATTCATAAAGTCAATAACATCCAAATAAAAATGAAAAATGAAAACATTCATAGAAAGTGGATGTGTTCTTCGTTCGTGACTCGTGAAATAACGACATGTATATATATATATATATATATATATATATATATATATATATATATATATATATATATATATATATATATACGGGTTGGCGGGTTGACCCGCGAACCCAAACAGATAACCCAACCCAACCCATGAAATAAACGGGTTGGTGGGTTGGCGGGTCAAAAATCTCAACCCAAACCCGTCTATTTTCGGGTTGGGTCAGTGGCGGGTTACGGTTTGGGTCAAGAGTTGCCACCCCTAGTTCCAAGTGATTATCACTTCCTTATTTAACGTAATTTATCTATTTTTTTAATAATAATTTCTTTTATTATATTGGTTAAATATTCTCACCTATCTCACAAGATACTTCACGCTTGGATTCATTCACATTCCAGAGCAGGAGCAGAAGAAAGTAAAAGATCGAACTCGGCATCCATTCTTCGCTTAGGTATGATTTATGAATAACATATATGTTACAGATTAAATCTTCCATTTGTTATGTTTTTTCAGATTCTTTAAACTAAATGTATCTTGCAACATGTAGAAGCGTTTCAAAGATCGAATTCGACATCCATTCTTCGGTTAGATTTTTAGTTTAAAGATTCATTTTTTTGTGACATTTGAAGAATTCGACAATCAGGTAATTACTAAACACCCCTTTAAAAATGAAATCAGTAAAAAGGAACGACTTGATTCATTCCATTCCATTGGGCTAATGAAACAAGTCCATTTTCATTCCATTGTGCTAATGAGTCATCTCATTCCTTCCGAATTCTATCATACAAAACACTTTCTAGAAAAAA